GACATGTTCCAAAAGGATAATTGAAAACAAAATTTATAATTAATCTTGTTTTCAATTCTCCTTTCATATTTATAGTCCTTTGGAAAATATCCTGATTACCGGTTAAAAAACTAAAAACGCAGATTTACTCAATATTATGTCCTGTTACTGTAGGAAGTATAGTAATACCGTCTTATAAAGAAGAAACATGAGTAAATTAACAAAACCCGCGAACTGCACTAAGTCTATTCTGATTACTTTGACTGCAAGTCGGCACGGGTTGCCGTGGTCCGAATTGCATAAAATTTGATTCGGATAGTTTTTAAGACAAAATCAATAAAATGCGGTAGTATGCATTAAATTAAAAAATAACAACTTTGTTTTTTTGGAACAGTGTAATGTATATTTTTTGTACATTTGACTTTATACTTTTCGTGGGATTATTTTGAGAAATTTTAGATTTTCTTTAAGATGTTTTCGAGATCTAATGAGCCTATCGGGTTATGTTGAGTCTATTCAGAAGATTTGCGTGACTTTTTCGAGATCTGTAAGAAGTGTTTTTGGGATTTTACCAAACTTTTCGGTATATTTAATGACTTTTAAAGATTACTTCAGGATTATTCGAAATTTTTATATATATATTTTTTTTTTGGTACTTTTACGGCATCTGTTGAGCCTTTTCATAATTTTTTGACATTTATTAAAACTTTATACTTTTTCAGGCTATGCCGATCTTTTTTCGGAGGGCTTTCACTATCGTTTTAGTAATTTTAAGAAAAATATAAGATTCTTTTGAAACTTTTCAGAATGTTTCAGGAGCTTTGCATTAATTTTGAAAACTTAAGACATTCGGAATTTTTGAGGACCATAAGAGATTTTCTCGTGGCTGTAACCAAGTTATTTTTAAAGTTTTTAACATATTTTTATTTTTTTTTTCGGTACCTTTTTCAGGATTTTAAGGCGTTTATTCAAACCTAAGAAGTCATGTTTCCAAAAATCTGTCGGACCTATCGTGGAACTTTTCAGTATATTTCGGGAATTTTCTAGGATTCGTTAGGAGTTTTCAGAATTCTATAGGAATTTTTCGTAATTTTTCGGAATTTTTGTTTCTACTTTTTAGGAGTATTTTGGAATTTTTCGATATTTTTGCATGCATTGAATCTTTTCAGTATTTTTTTAAGATTTCCAAAATATAATAAAACTTTTAGGGATTCGATTTTTAATCGAACCTGTCGTGTATTTTTCGGAATTTCTATGAGTTATGAATTTATTATGAAATTATTCCGACTTTTCAATATATTTCGGGATAAAATAAAGAAATAAAAATTCGTAAAACAATAAGAAATAATGTATGTAAACACAAAAAATATGGATACGGTCAAGCTACTATTTTGCTGAGGACAATCAACAAATAGATGGTTAGCAGCGATAGAATATTTATTTCATTTTCCGTTGCTGTTGATATGTGTTTACATATTTGCAGCTCATTGTAACGTTTTTTAATTAATATCATGTGACTCTTTCCATCAGTCCCGGACAATTAAAATAAATTATTATTTTTCCCCTTAGCAAAACATAACTACTTCTTATCAGTTCTTTTTGTGGACTTTGATTGCTGACAAATGCTCACAAGTGTTAATCAAAATTCCTATAAGCAAATTTTCCATTATCTTAGAAATTATTTATCGATTTCTTTTCGAAAAATAAGCAAAACAGAACTTACGCTGTCTGTGCACGTGCGCGCTTCATCACATCGCTGCCATTTCGTATAGAGTTCTTCTTGTGCATATTTTGCTGCATTGCCGATGGTGAAGTGCTACCTGGACCGCCGCCAGCGATGCCGCTGCCGCCCATGCCAGTGCCAACACCACTGCCTGCAATCACAACGGCACCACCATGATGATGATGATGGCCATGCAGTAGATGATGATGGTGATGCTGATGATGTAAACTCACATGTTGGCCATGATGTATACCACCTGTGGGAAAATATAAACGAAAAAATAACATAAACAAAAAAAAAACACAAGGCAATTATATAAAGGAAAATTAAAAGATAATTAAGTTAGGACAATCAGTAGTCGTATGAAAGAGTAAATGAATGAATAGCCTTGCAAATGTAAGTATGTATGTAGGTATGTTCGAGTAGCTGTGTGTTGTATGCAAATGTTACTATTGAAGCCATTTTACGTGTGCTTGGTAAGCCAAGCCAGAGAGACAGATACTAGTTAGACATAGAGGAGATCGTATATTAAATTCATACAATAGCTGATAAAAATTTGTTTTATTATGGCTTTTTTTTGCCATTTTCATCGCTTATGTATGTATGTATGTATGTATGTCATTATTACACTATTTTCGTCCAACTCACCAGTGGTTCCCGCTGTTGCTGGTTGATGTGCGATTTGTTGTTGATGGCACGAGGTTGCAGCATACTGTTGTGGATGATGTTGCTGGTAAATCATGTGAGATTGTGGCATGACGGGATAATTTATAGCAGCACTGGAAGAGCTCGAGGGTATATAGTGTTGCTGCAGGTAAACGTAGCCACCACAATCCGTTGACATTGTGGAACCGGATGTTGTGGAGCCAGGCGGTGCAGCAATATCATATTGGGTCGAACCGCTACGCTCGATGGATTTTTGTGGGAAACTGTAAAAACAAAGATAATTGAATTGAAATTTATTAAAAATAAAAAATGTTTGCTAAACATTATACAACGAAACTTTTATTAAGAAATGTGTTAAAAAAATGATGTCGTCTTTTTGATGTGAGAGACATAGAAAAATAATTTTAGAGGAGTTAGTTTCGTTTAACCTTTACACGATCATTGGCCAACTAATGTATGTAAGTATGTGTACATAACAAGTTACGTTATAATTGTAGATTGTGGTTTATTAAGGGCTGAATAAACATGCACACATACACATATGTTTAGATTTACATTTTTGTTTTTTAATTTTTATTTATTTTTTTTTTTAAATTAGGCTTACAATTTCCTTACAGAAAAATTTAAAACGAAAACAATAATTAATATTTGTCCTTTAAATTTTAGGCAACACTGAGAGAATTTTAGTGGAATAATTTTTCATGTATCCCTTATAAGACCAAATGTGAAAAAATTTACATAAATTCATATGAATTTTGATTTATATTATTTTTTAAATTGCTGCAAATTTTTTAAGAGATATGTATGTAGTTTAAAAAAAACAGAAATAATTAAATTATTTATTATCACTTTTATGCAACATTTCGAATATTTTAGTAGGATATATACATGTCATATATTTTGATGTAACACTATTATTTTTTAATTGTTTAATTAAATTTTTGTTCTTGAGTTTTTTTATTTTATTTATATGAGGTTTTTATATTGGAAAAATCATGGAAATATAACAAAATAAAACAAAATTCCCTAAATTTAACAAAGTTTTTTGCATGAATTCTTTGTCTCCCTTGGTTCTGAAAGTATTAATAGTTTACGTTTTTTTACATTTACATACAAGCCTACTTTGTTTATTTATTAAACTATTCACCTTCACACTCATTAACATTAATAAGCATATTAACTCTTATACCACGTTCACACAGACCAAGAAATTATGTAAGTTGATTTATTTTGGAACGAACCTCCGCCGTCCCTTGTCAACAATCAACAAATATTTATTTATCATTGGTGTAAATTTTCAAAAACTTGTTCTCAAACCACATACATATTTCTCAATTCAAAATCAGAGAAACGAACAAAAAATGCTTAAACCCAACAACCAGATAAGGTCCAACTCGATTTACTGCGTAGCTTTGGCCTTTAAAAATTCGAATAGTGAATGCGATCTTAACTCTGAAAACATCACATGAGCATAAATCAAAATCAATTATACATAAATTAGTGCAAACATAGTATTATTCATGAGGAGAACAAAGCCGAATTTGAAGCTTTCACAAGAAATTTAACGACGTCTGGTGTATCTTTTTTCAAATTTCAATAACCTATTTTTTCCCTGGAGGATTATGACAACTTTTTTTGTTATTATTTTATTTTCAAAATGCACTAGCAATTATTGCAAAATTAATGCTCATTTTAATTATTTTATTTTATTTTGATTTTCAGACACAGCTTTACATTTATTTTATTGTCCAAAAATACAGGCCATCCTTTGTTCATTTATTTTCACTGTTAAGGCTTGTTGTTCGAATTGGCAACACACCAGCTGCTGTCAATTGCAATTGATTTTTTTGTTCAACATTTTTTATTCTTATTTTTATCAATAAAAAATGTACATATATACGCCTGTATTGCAAAACACTTGCCAAATGTGAAATATTTAGTACACAACAAAGTGCAATATTAATGCGAACTTTGAAATTTAAAACAAAATCTTTTTCAGAAAATATTTTTTTGTCGTACCTTTCACCAATTATAAAACCCGAAATGCAAATGATCATTTTGTTTTAGTATTTGTAGGTATAAAAAATCACTGGTTTAAATAAAGTACATCATATGAATCACAAAGTGCAAATAGAATTTTCTGCGTATTATTTAATTTATTTTCTTTCAAAATTCCATATGTATTTCAAGTGCAAGCCAACATTTCAGTTTCCGAGCTTCCAGGTGCGCACGCGTTCAAGGATACGAATAAACTAAAAGTGGCGGCGGTGTTGGTGCCTTTTCCTGCTGTTGTTGCTGCTGCGCATGCGCAGTAATGTGGTGTTGAAGGCGATCATGCACGGCATAATTTTGTTAGTATGTATTCATGTAGCGCTGGCTGACTTAAGCGGAAGGTGACCAGAAAAAGGAAGCGCGAGAAATTAATATAAACGAGAGTTAGTACTTGAAGTATTTCACATTGTAAATAAAAAATAGAGTTAGAATTAAAAAAAAAGGATTAACTGTACATAGTTTTGTAAATACAATTTAGTACTGATTTCCTTTACATAAAAGCTATGTAATTTCTGCATGCCATGTCACTGCCTTTTATAAGGTTCTGAATTTTTTTCACTAATATGGTCACCTTAAACCACCCTCTGTGTGTAGTTATAATGTGCTAGTGCGCATCCGTTTCTGATTTTTCACCAAAAAAAAAAATAAAAGCAAAGATCTTCACAGCCGATATATAATTATGAACAGCCATTAAGGCTAGAAATGGGCATCCTTATGAGCTGAAGTACTGACAAACAGACTGTAGAGGAAAACTACAGCGATTGGAAAAAGGAAAATGAAAATTTTGTACTACATATTTTTTATATGTAGAGCTATACAGCACAGTGCGGAAAAGCAGCGCAAGATTGGAGTTAGTACGCCAAGAGCGCGCTGTAAAATACGAGTTTTTTTCTTATTATAGATTCCGAATAAATAATGAGTTATGAAATATTTCAATGCAACAGGAAATAAATAATTACGCCTATGGTATCTATGCGAGTAAATAAATACATATGTGTTAAGTTATGAAAAATACCTCAAAGGAAATATTTGAAATTCTTCTAATTTACTTGTTTGCAAATGCGAGAATTAAGACAGAATTTTTACATGCCGTTTTTAGAGTGTAGAATACAAACTTATAAAATATTCTGTTCAGCAAACCAACGCCTCTTAAGAGTATCTGATTTAAAAAATGTTCAAACCAATTAATATTTAATGTTGGGCCATTGCATCTGAGGCTTTCGGACGAAAAATTCAAGGAAAAAATAACTACTAGGTACAGACCTCAGACGCGTCTCAAGTCTCAAGACCACCATCTGAAGACTTTTAAAACAATATGTCTATTACGCGTTTTGGAATCGAAGTAAGTGAGATAGCCGATGAGCTTCGAGAGTTTTGAGGGGATTCAACTCACTGTGAAGTAGTTATTCATTTCACCAATAGGAACACTGCGACCTATAAGATCTTTGATATACCTACGACCTATCTCAAACCTTGATGTTCCAGGAAACTTTCAGCATCCCCAATAAAAAGAAAGAAGAAGATTGGTAGATGAATTCCTAATTTTAAGAAATTCATTTGTGGGTGAACTGAAATGTATTCGAGTAACGCCCATGGGCTTTATTTCCTAAAAAAAAAAGAAATAAAGCCCACGGGCGTTATTACCATTTCGAAGGGGAATATGCGAAAGAGCAATAATAACCGCGGAAATAAGGCCAGTGAGTAGTATTTTCTCTGGCTTTATTTCACTGAAACAATCCAAATATGTATTCAGGCATACATTTGCTTAAAATGGGATCTATTTTTGGATGCAGTGCAGTTCTGCGTTGAATTCCCTTCTGCAGTATACGCATTAAATCGAACGGTATATTGGTCAATAACTGATAAGCGAATTATTGGAAATTAAAGGTAAATTGTTATTGTTTTTTTAGCCTTACATGCGATGCGCATATTTGTTCTCAGCTTCTAAGTTTTTTTCAGTGGTGCCGCTGTTGAGCGCCCGCGGGATTTGTTTTTTTTTGTTTTTTAGGAAATAAAGCCCATGGGCGTTATTGCACTCCACCGACTTTTGTCAGGATCTGGTTTGCGACCCGTCATGTGAAAACGAATTCTAAGAAAAGGTTAAATTCAGTTTTTAGATTAAACGAATTTCTTTTGAACGGTCAAAATCGCTTAGGCGCTTAAATAGCCAAACAGGAAGAATAAGTTGTTGCCTGGCCAAGGACATAGCAAGCCCTGTGGACCTACCATATCCGAACGCAGCCAATTATGACCGTGAGTAAGCTTATGCCCACTCTATTTATGGATAAAGAAAGAGTCCGGCCGGCCAGTCTAAGCTATGTTTCCGCTCTCCAGTACTTACAGCGTTCTGAACTCACCAGCTCAGTAAGCATAAGAGTGGTTCCGTGCCTGCGAAGACGGCTGGTGGAGCTGATGAGGCATTTGCACGTATATTACATGTATTCTGGTTTTGTCCAGAATGCACGAAATTTACTTAAACACTAGGCGCAAAAGAAGTCTCAAAAAGCAATGCAATTTTTTAGCCAGTTGAAACTTGCACTTCATTAGACTAAATTTGAAGGGGCTACAAAACTAAAAACTGCATACTCGGAAATTTTAAAGAAATTCTCAATAAAAAGTTGAAATTTTTGATGAAATTTTGGTGAACTTTATATCAATTGTGAAACTCTGATGTATATGGTTTAATTATAGAATGAACTATACGTTCATAAATAATTAATGCAAACAATTTTTCATTAAAATAATTGTAAATTTTACATGAGAAAGATGGTGAAAAGTGGTAATAAGTATTAGATTTTTATTAGTCAAAATAATATGAGTCAAAATAATAGTCAACCATAACCGAAGTAGGTTTTCAATATATATTAAGGACACCTGCGGTTAGCCCACTCCTTCAAAGTAAATCTGCCTTCATTTAGTTAAGATTCACCATCCATACAGGAATACACACGTGCATACCTACTTACATTTATACATTTATAAATAATTACAATAATAAAAATATGCACATTGCAGGCAATAAAAGGAATTAGGCTCGTACAGCAACAACAGCAGCAGTAACAGTACGACATCAAAACCAGCAGCAACAATAATACCAAAAATTTAAGCAAGAACAAGAAAATAAGTACGGAGAAAAAAAATGTAGCAAAAGGTGCATCAGTTTCGGTTAAAGCAAGCCATACAAAACTAAAAGCAAACTGCACCTGGCGTT